GTTTGTTGTATTGGTGGCTGTTGTAGTATAATTTGTTGTTGCTGCTGTTGCTGTTGGGACGGCGCTCCCTCCACTGAATGCTGTTGTTGTAATGTTGGCTTCTGCTGTTGCAATATTATTTGGTTCTGCATATTACTGTTAGCAGGTATTGTCATCATTTGCTGTTGTGGAGACTGTTGCTGATGTTGTTGTTGTTGCGAAGCTTGTGTTGGCACAGTTTGCTGCTGTATTATAATCTGTTGTTGAGGATGTGGCTGTTGCAATTGTTGTTGGCCCACAATTATTGTATTTTGTTGTGGTTTACGTTGTTGTAATTGTATTTGCTGTTGTTGTTGCTGTATATACTGTAAACGTTGAGGATTATTGATAACTTGCTGATTAATTACAATTTGTTGTGGTTGCTGGGGCATGTTGCCAGGTTGATGTTGTTGTTGTAGTGGAATTCGCTGTTGTTGTGGATTAAGTATGACTTGCGTTTGTGTTATCATTTGCGGCGATTGCTGTGAATGTTGGATTTGTTGTTGTTGTTGTTGTTGTTGCAACATACTATTAGACCCATCAGTCCCATCTGCGGATTGTTGACGATGCGTATAGATTGGAGGAGGTTGCTGCTGAGTCTTAAGAACTTGCGTGGGACTTTGGGGAATTTGCTGCAATTGCTGCTGCTGATGCTGAGGGGATTGCTGCATTTGAATTGTTTGTTGCTGTTGTTGTGGTGATTGCTGCATAGGATGTTGTATTATTTGTTGCACAATTTGGGGTTGTGCTTGCTGTTGTTGTTGTTGCTGAGCTGTTAAATTTGTCTGATTAACTATAACGACGTTCTGATTATGTTGATTTTGTTGTAATATCTGTTGTTGTTGTTGCATACTGAGCTGTTGAAACTGCTGTTGACTAATAATAATCTTCGACTTGTTTGAAACCGTTATTTGCGTAGGGGTACCGCCAATACCAATTTGTTGTTGTTGTTGTGGTTGCTGCTGCTGCTGATGTTGCGGGGATTGTGATGGAATTTGAATTTGTTGACTTATTACCTGATGCTGTTGAAGTTGYTGTTGTGGTGTGTTCGATTGCTGTATGTTAGGACTCATTATTTGCTGCTGATAATTCGTTGAAATACCAGTCACCTGCTGCTGTTGAATAATTTGGGGTTGCTGTTGTTGTTGYTGTTGAACAATTTGCKGTTGTTGTTGTTGTTGTTGCGGCTGCGACTGGGACTGCGGTTGTGGCTGCAGCGTTTGCTGTATGATGCATACTTGACCCCCTGACATGGTCATTTGTTGCGGTTGACTAAATTGCATTGATGCCGGTTGTTGTTGTTGCTGTTGGGCCTGCTGCAATTGCTGCGGCTGAGGTGACATTCCCCCGATTAACATGCCAGATGGCTTCTGTTGCTGCTGCTGCTGTTGCTGGACGATTAACTGCTGTTGTTGTTGCTGTTGCTGCTGTATATTTATCAAGTGTTGCTGTTGCTGTTTGTGTTGTGATTGTTGCTGTTGTTGTATATTCATCATGTGACTTTGTATTAGCTGCTGCCCCTGCACAGTGGATGTGTTGATGACATGTCGTTGAGCAATTATTTGGTGYTGCTGATTGTTGGGATTAACCACAATTTGTTGCTGTACCTGAGGTTGTTGCAATGGCGATTGCCTAGCTGATTGGGGCTGTTGTTGTTGAATTTGCATGTTTTGTTGTTGCTGTTGCTGCTGCTGCTGTTGTTGTAACGCATGTTGCTGTTGTAATGCCTGTTGTTGTTGCAGTGCTTGCTGTTGCTTCAAATGCTGTTGCCGCATTATTAATGATTCGTGATTTGGACTTGGAGCTGACCGACTGAGCACTTGGGCCACCTGAACGGGATCAGTTGGGTCTATTGGCTTCATCTGTTGTAACATCTGTTGCTTTGTTTGTTGTGTGGTTGGTGTGGATTGCTGTGTTTGTGGTGACTGCGGAGCAGAAATATGTTGTGGACTTTGTTGTTGTTGAGCTTGTGTAATCCGCTGCGGTTGTTGAAATGGTTGTAACGTTTGTTGTTGTTGCGGTGACATCATTGACTGATGCTGGGGTGAACCCATAGCTCCAGCTAAACCTTGCGGCTGACGCTGTTGTCGATTTTGCATTTGCTGACGCATTTGTTGTTGCTGTTGCTGTGGTTGGGGTGAGTGAGGCGGTGGCGTCATTTGAAGAGCGGGTGACTGCCGTGGTGATTGTGGAGGCATCATGCTACCACTATTAGGGACGTGATTTTGCTGTTGTTGCAATGAAGGTGATTGTGATTGTGGATTTTGATTTAATCGGGGAGACTGTTGCATTTGTTGCTGTTGTTGTTGTTGYTGCTGTTGATGTTGCTGTATTTGTTGTTGAAATTTCTGTTGTTGTTGTATTAATTGTTGTTGCTGATGTTGTATTTGGCGCTGTAAAGCCTGTTGCTGTGGTGTCAAACTCTGCCCATTTTGTATATGTTGCTGAAGTTGCTGCTGTTGTTGCTGAAGAATATTTTGCTGGTGTAATATGTGTTGGTGTAACATTTGCGGCGACATTTGCACTGTTTGTTGTTGATGAGGTTGCTGAGATTGTGGGGACATCGGTATGGTGACATGTTGCGGAGACTGATTGGGTGGCTGAGGTGTGGTACAAGGCGTTCTAGATGCCGGAGTATGTCTGCCACTTGGAGTTTGCGGCGTCCGCGGTTGTGTTATGTTAACACCAACAGCTGTTGGTGTTGRAGTGGGAGTGCGTGGGTCGGGCAGCGGCGGTGGTCCACTTGAAGTGGGTGTAGATGGAGCGGTACGGGGTTGAGGAGGAAGATTAGGATGATTTGGTGGTTGTGGCTGGGGAGTTCGTGGTGTTTGTGGTAATTGTTGATGTTGTATTATTTGAATGTGATGTTGAGGACTCTTGAGATTTCTCTGTTGTTGCAAAACATTTCCTGGAACCATTTTAGTTTGGCTCTGCTGTTGCAGTTGAATTTGCTGCTGGGCCACAACATTTGGTACTATTTTTTGTTGAACAATTATTTGTTGAGGTTGTAAAGATGGTTGTTGTGTACCACCTAAAATTATTTGTTGTTGGTGTTGTTGTTGCTGTTGTTGAATATTACGTGGGCGTACAAACACAATTTGTTGTTGAGGATGTAATTGACTTTGTAATTGAGTATGTTGTTGAGGTTGTGATTGCACTTCCGTTTGTATTTGGGAAACAACAGGATTAGTATTTAATAAAACTTCGGGCAGTTGATTGTTCTCATTACATGAACTGTTTTCCTGCAATTGGGTTGCGGGGGGCTTATTTAAATCTTCTGCTGAATTTGTACTTGTTGATGGAAGGGTAGGTGGAATGGCTGGTAATGGTGGTAAAGAAGCTTGCAACTGCGATTTAATATTAGCAATGCTTTCCGCAGCATCGGCATCATCTACACTYGCACCGATTGTATTGTCAATACTACTCACAATACCACCCATATCATCATCATCAAATCCTAATATTGTAGATAATGTTTGTTCCACCGAGTCAACCATACTGCAATCAGATGTATTCGTAGTTGTAGTTGACGCAACAGGAACGGAGATGGGCATTTGTGTTATTGGTTTTGTTGCAGAAACGTGATTGTATGATGTGGAAATGTTTGTCAATTTAGGTACAATTTTAGGTTGGTCTACAATCTTGAGCAATCGAGGGTGGTAACCATCACAACTCAAAATTTTACCCTGTTTTAAGCAATCCAATACCCAGTCAGGGCTAACAATATTTACAGCTCCCTTTGTTGCACGATTATAAGCATTCCCACCTATACTGCCGCATATTAAGTGTGTAATACTCGCGTCGGCTGCGGTATTGACTTGAGCGCCATGAAATGTAAGGATAGCGTACAAACATTTAAAATCTTCACTTGACAAATTTGTTACTGCGAATTTAAGTGATTTGAAAAGGCGTTGCGTGCTTGGATCAAATGCTTTTGTTGACGCTAAACGTCCCAACTTGGCACTGTGTACTATCCATTGATCGGTAACTGGTATAACATTATAGAGATCCAAGTTCATAGCCAATTCTTCTTCAGTGTAGTTTGGTGCACACACCAGATGTGTAACCACATCTGATAAAAAACGTTTCGATTGGGCCCCACCATTTTTAAGCAGTTTTTCAACCTGTAATCATAAATAAGTACGATGTATTTATTTAACTAATAATAACCTAATATTAGAAACACCCTGTGGTAACTTGGCGCTCCAAATGAAAAACTATAACCAACTTGCTATCCGACAGATAACAAAGCGGGTATATAGCTCCACATGCATTTACCTACCTCTTCATCTAAATTTCCATCAACGAAATATCGTATATTCGCAAATAAATTTCCACTTATTTTCAAATTTTCCATATTTTCAAACACATTTCACACAAATTATGCATTCGCTTTTCTTTTGTTTTCCGTTTCGCACGTCTTCGTGCAGCGCTGTCGAATTTCGATCGCGACCTGCTCATTCACAATTCTACCAACTTGTAATACATAGCATTAACCACTTATTTTCGCTGTGTGCGCTATAAGATTATGTTCTGATTTATACCAATTGCTCGGGTAGAATCAAATCAGTGATTGTAATATTTTAATATCAGTTGTTCCATAAAAACACAGCAATATGAAAAGAAAGAACGCCACTTGACCGATTGAAGAGAAAAACTWCAAGATTTCACATGAAGTTAGCTTCAGTTAAATAAGCAAGCCGAATTGCCAGACGTTATTCAATATTCATCCCAATTAGAATTTCAATAAAAATAATTAGGAATCCATTTTTTAAAGTTTTATGTGTATTTGTGTACAATATTTATTTTATTCGGATATTTTATATTGTTTGAAAAAGTCAAGAAAACTAAAAATTAAGCGCTGAAATTTGTATACCTGGCAGCATTTTTATTGATTTTCGAAATTTATTATTTTTGTAATGTCAAATAAATTTGAAGTACGGCAACAACAAATGTACAACAAAAGTTTCCTAAAATTTTAGCGTCTTCAACTCGTAGCAAAATATTTGTGTTTTCTCCCCCATATACATTTTACCGAAACTTGAATAAGTTAATTTATTAAAGCAAATTGATAAAGAAGTGAATTGTGATATGTGAATTTAACATTCGCTTTGTTTTTATTTCAAAGATTTCTTTAAAATGTCGAATGCCTGTAGCTGTRTCAAATAATATAAATTATGCCAGAAATTACTTAAATTTTTATTGGAATCAGTTTCTGTCTGGTTCGAAATACACATAAATTTCTACTTAAAGAAACATTAGCTACATTCTACAGTGCAAAACATTCAAACAACACAAAATTAGTCAATATGTCAACTTACCGTGGTGTAAATTTTCACGATTTGTGTAGGGTCTGCACGTCCCATACAGAGCAACGTATCAGTATATTTTCAGCTGATGGAAAGAGCAAAAATCTTTGCACTAAAATAGCCGATTGCCTGTCTTTGATGGTAAGTTTATAAATATTAAGTATGTGACACCTTAAAATTCATTGAACTTAATATTATTATAGGTTGACGAAAAAGATCGTCTCCCGAAGGTCTTATGTGTAACATGTTTGGGACAAGTGGAGGAAATCTATAAATTTCGAAATATTTGCAAAAATTCACAAAATGTGTTGAGTGATTGTTTGAAACAAGCTACGCAACATAATAGCGGGAAGATTTACATAAAAGATGATATTGCAACGAATACTGGCAAGAGTATAAATGTAGTGTGCAACAACACATCTAATATTCGGTTGAATGGTTGCACACCATCCACATTAGACGTCAGCAACAACCCGCAATATACAGCAATAACACCTCAGCAAAATTTTTCTAACTTTGGCGCAATTTCGACTAACAATGAGGTGCTTAACTCGATTATGCAGTCGATCGGCATACAAGTAATTCTTAAATGTTTTCAATAGATATAAAAGTATAAAATATCCAAACTTTACTTATATTTTTAGCAAACAACGGTCGCTAATCAAGCAGATAAGCCACTCATACAGGAATATACCATAACAATGGATAGTAAGGGAGCATTGAAGACTGAACCTGTACCGTACAAATCCGCTGTCTCTTATACACATCTAGATGTGTATAAGAGACAGGGAATATACCATAACAATGGATAGTAAGGGAGCATTGAAGACTGAACCTGTACCGTACAAATCCGATACAACTCCAGTGGCAAACTGTTTGCAACAGCCGGTTCAACAGCAAAGAAAGAATCTCTCTAAGGATTGTGATCACAAGTAAGTAAAATAATTRAAAAAAATTCCAACAGCAAATTCTTTAAAATTTTTATATTTTCAGAGCAATAACTGAGTTTCTTAAAATGAAACCAAACATAAAAGTCACTCCATTAGGAAAAAACAATAATAAAAAAATAGCAGAGCAACAACAACCGCAGCAATTGCAACTCCAGTCATCACAAATCATAAACCAACAAGATCAGCACAACAACACGCAGCATATTCATATTCAACAACAGCAACCCCTATCGCAATCCACAACAGCTGCCGCCAGTATGCAGTTACAACAATTGCAACAGCAATTGCAACAATTTCAATTACAACAACAGTTGCAGCAACAATTACAACAAATCACATCTCAATTACAACCACAGTCTACAATAACTCTTGGYCCTCCACCTACACCTGCCGTGGCGACAAGCCCAAGCAAAAGCAAAAAGCCTAAACTAAATTTCGTATTAACCTCACCTCCTTCACAGACACTTACGGCTTCATTACCACAACTATCAATGAATGCTGGAACACAACCCCCACAAATACAATTACAACTKCAAGCACCTCAGACACAATCACAGGCTACTGCGGCGACACTGCTGTCAAACTTGGCACCATTTTTACAGCAGCAGTCAGCACAAACGCTCAATTCGTCGAACATACTGCAAACACCAACGCCATCAACAACACCCACAACCYTAGTAACATCGCCGAATAAGTGTTATCTTCCTATAACTATCAAGGACGAAAATTCGGATCAACAAATTGTGGCCCATATAGATGCGAAAAACTTTATGCTCCCTACAACATATCAATTACAAATGAAAGTACAGCCACAGATCGCTACCGTAGATGGACAGCCAATTATGCAATTGGCACCGACATCTATACCTGCCACTCTGCAGTTGGCGGCATCAGCTTTAAATAGCCAATCMTTCCAAACGATAACGGGTAATATGCTGCAAACAATTCCAACAACTATACAATCATCACCAACACAACAACAGCAGCAGCAGGCACAGRTGCATCAACTTTCACTGAAACAACCAGCAGCGCATGTAACCTCCCAACAAATAATACGGCCGGTAACACAGTTCACTAACGACGTGGCCACTTCGACAAATGAACAAATAGAAGACTTTGTGCTGAATAAAGTGGATAATAATAAACAGATGGAAAAAGTGATAAAACAACAGAAATACAGGCTTTCACAGCAGGCTAGTAGTGGCAATATTGAAATAACACCAACAACAAATTTCAGACAAGAAATGCAACAAGTGACAAAACAAAACCAACAGCAACAWAAACAACAAAAATCAAACCCGCAGCAGCAAGCACACGACTCGCAAAAAGAAGAACAACAGTTGCAGGCACAGAAGCAACTACAAGATRTGGTAACATTACTAAGGCCACAGTCACAGAACGACGGAACGGTGCAGCGCGTAACAAACAAATCAACAATGAAGACACAACACCAAAAAGCGGCGTTGCAACAACCACCACCGCAAGCAGCAAAGCAAACGAAAATACCTATGTTGCAGAAAAACGATGTGACAATYAGCCGAATAAGCAATACTGCGCAAACTCAACAGCAACAACAAGAGCAGCAGCAAGCCTTATTGAAGCTTCTGCCTGCATCCACACTGGATGTAAAATCGAAAAACGCAAACGGCGTTGGGACGCAAATACAGCAACAACAACCTCAAATGCAATTTACATCAAAACAGCAAGATACTCAAATACCGAATGCTCCGTCCACCCAAAAGATAATGCGACAGACAGAAAACGTTTCATCARTACAATCTCAGTCCCACTTTTACACGCAACAAAAACAATCCTTGAATACAGCTAACGATACAGCTGCAAATGCAAGACCTCCACAGCARCARCAGCAGCAGCAGTTTTCTGCGAATGCCACTGAGAAAGACGATACGAAAGTGAAAACCGAAGGTGTGTCCGCGCACGGTGTCGGTCCCAACGGTCTGGAGTGTAGCCAATGTGGACGCGTCTTCAAGAAGAAAGAGCATCTGACTCAACACGTTAAGCTGCACGCCGGCTTACGGCCCTTCAAGTGCAAGGAGGAGCAATGCGGAAAGGCATTCAGTCGTAAGGAGCACCTAATGCGTCATGAAATCTCACATTCAGGTCGAAAACTGTTTAGTTGCGACGTGTGCCATAAACCATTCTCACGTAAAGATAACCTCAATAAGCATAGAAGGTGGGTAAACTTGGATTTGTTTCAGTGTAATCAGAAATAATAAATATCTAATATATWTCATACAGAATTCACACAACTGGCACAAACCTCTATAACTGTGAAACATGCAACAAACAGTTCGCTGTGCGCGCATATTACGAAGAGCATAAGCAGATGCATGAAGATGCCGCATCTGCTGGCATCAGAAATTCAAATCAAAAGGTATTTGTTTTTGCACAATTTTAACAATTTAAAATATTATTGATTTTTCTTTTTTTTTATTGTAATAGAATGAGAAAACAACAAATGGGTCTAACACCATCAATACGGATGTGGCTGTGCAACATTCACAAGTTGCCAGCAGAGAGCAGCAACAAACGCAAATGCTGCAACAAACTCAGCAACAGCAAACGCAACTGTTGCAACAAGCGCAGCAACAACAAACACAATTGCTACAGCAATCGCAACAAAATCAACAACAAACACATTTGCAGCAGCATTCTCAACAACAACAGCAAACCCATTTGTTACAACACTCTCAACAACAACAACAACCTGAGTTGACAGCTATACCACCGTCATTAATGTCAACGAGTCAACCCCCAACACAACAAATTCAAATAGTTCAGCATCAAGCGGGCAACTCACAATTTCAGCAGCAGCATCAACAACAACACATAATGCAATTACAATTGCCGGCAGTTGTAGGTGCACAGGATTTAGCAGGCAATACTATTACCATAACACAGTCGCATGATCCAACATTGAAAGCTACAATCGGCAGCCATGATGCGACTGTACTGAATCTGCCTTCGTCACTGGCGAACCTCATGCAACTTAGCCATGCACAGTTTGTAAACACAGCCACTGGTCAAATAATGGGTCATATAAAAATTGAGAAATGATTAGAATTACAAGAATTTTAAAAGACATTTTCACAAGTCATACTTAAAATTAAAAATTATTTTAATGATTTTTTTGCTACTTACATCACATTCAAAATGTGCGCATATGAAATACTTAAAAGCTCATTTAAATAGAGTTTCCAAGGAAAACATGTTATTTTTTATTTAGATATATTTTTTTACCCAATTGTTAAAAACATTTGTGGAATATTTACACCATTATTTATTAAGACATAGTCTTAAATCACATTTTACATTTGATTTTACTTCATACCCTTATTTTTTAATTTGTTTTGGTTTTTAATTTTTTTAATTAATTTGGATTTTAAAATTTTTTAATAATTTGGCTTTTGAATTTTTTTATTAATGTGGATTTTAAATTTTTTTAATTTATTTGGATTTAAAAATTTTTTTTTATTAATTTGGATTTTAAAAMATTTTTAATTAATATAATTAAATATATAATATGTACGTATGAATACTATTATTCATTTGCAAAATTCTTAGCACTCAAATTATTATTATGTTAAAATTTTCCGAATTCGCTAGTCATTTGARTAATACTTTTTTTTAGCATAAAAGCAATTTGAGTACTCAACTTCGGTATTAATCGTAAGTCATTAAGTAAACTCGTTTTAATTTTAAATATTTTTTATATGAATGTACATATATAATTAGAACAAGCAACTATGCAGGATGAACTGAACTGAATTTTATGAATGCTATAAAATAACAGATACTCATGCATGTACATATGTATTTCAGATATATGAATTACATAAACTAATTGTAAAACTTATTATATTTATTCATGTTCATATAGTATAAATAATAATATTATAGATCCGTAGAAATGAAATGCCATAAAATATTTTAGTATTTAAGAAGACACATTTAAAATGATTAATTTTGTAAATCTCTGTCATGTTCATATTATATGAATGTAAGCAATAAATCCCGATCATATATGTACGCTTGTATGTATGTATATGTGTTTTAGAAAAGACTTKGTGGCTACACTTTATTATTGTATATAGAGAAAACGTTATAGTTTATACGGACAGATACACCAAATTATGTAATTTTGAGGTTATGTGTATGAAGTGTGTTCAAAAGAGAAGGGAAATTTTAAAATTTCGCGAATTGCACGAAAAAACCATTACCTTCGGCTACAATAAAGAGATAATACAGCTTCACAGCTTCACAGGTGCATATCTTATAGCATAAAAGTGTGTAAAAAAATGATCTGTACATTGCTTTTGATCGGTCAGTTTGGACCGCAGCGGTTCGAGCTGAGCTACATATACATACATACATATGTGTTGAGATTTTAACATTTTGAATATATCTAATATTTTTCGTTCAGTTTGTGGGCAGCTATATGTATGTTATAGTAGTCCAATGTGGAAAATTGTTTCAGAAGCGAATGATTTTATCGAAGCGTTGCTATTGAGTAATATCGCATTCGATGGAACGAGATATATGACGTCAATGTCGTAATTCAGCGAATTAAAAGATAGCGGCTACGCTGGCTAGGTCATGTTGTCCAAATGGATGAAAACACTCCAGCTCTGAAAGTATTCGACGCAGTACCCGCCGGGGGAAGCAGAGGAAGAGGAAGACCTCCACTCCGTTGGAAGGACCAGGTGGAGAGGACCTGGCTACGCTTGGAATATCCAATTGGCGCCACATAGCGAAAATAATAATCGCGTAAGCGGTGTCTACGCCAATTAAGAAGAAGATATATTAAATATAGTATGGCTATTAATGCACCGTTGTGTACCTAAGTAAGTGGAAATTCTTTACCTGTAGCCATGTACTGAATGTTTGTATGGTTAAGTCTGTATGTTTATTACTGTGAAATTCTGCGAGGTGGAATGCTAATATTTCAGCCAATTCTRTAAACAAAAGCTTGCTGATTTGTGTACATATTTATGTGTATATGTATATGTACATATATAGATTTGCATGTGCCAGCTTGACTATGAATTTACAGTTTCCATTTGGCGTTAAAACTGGAGTATAAACATCGTACATTCGGCTGTAAACAATTTAAGATTTAGAACAGAAAATTTATTATGGAATAAACAAAAGAAATCACAAAACCAAAAATTGCAAAGTAACARTATATGGAAAAAGTATTAAGTTTTAGGAATGGAACTAATACCACTAAAATAACTTTGATTTGACGTTACATACAATGTTTTGAGTGTTGAGCAACTACCTCCATGGAATATATATCACAAATCAAAAATTATAATACAAACCGATTTGTAGACATTTATACATATATGTATGTATATGTATGTACATATAATCCCACAAAAAAAAAAAAAACAAAAATACATCAGTATCATTTGCGTAATAACATTTATAAGGCAAGTTTTATTTTGAACTTTTTTATTATTAATTATTTTGTTAACGAAACATTTTATTTTTTCTTTTGAATTATTACATACGTTTATATAAAATTAAATAGCATGCAATTCACTTGCAAAGATACACAAAATCATTTTTTATACAGTATAAATACGTTAAATAATTGTATACAAATAAATTGTGTTCCATAATTATAACAACTGTTAATTTAAATGCACTCGTTTTTATGAGCAGTTTATATGTGATTTTATTAAGAATCAATAAAAATTTTTGAGCATGTTTTAATTATCGTTTTTGTCTCGATAATTATAAAAAGAATGTCAGTTATCATTTATATTTCCTTTTTAATTTTTGTAATTATAAATTGTTTTCTCCATAAATAAATATTACATATGAATAATATGGAATATTGGCTTCTTTTGAGTGCRTGGTGAAAATGGCGTATTAGAACTACATAAACGATTATAATTATACATACATATATAATCTCAAATTATTTGAAAATTATTACCGAAAACTATTATAGAATTTAAAAAAATACATGGCAATAGTTCTTATACAGTATTTTAAATGTATTATTACTTCTTTGCACATTATTTAATAACATACATATAAATTACAAACAATTGTTAACCTGCTAAATCTTAAGCTTTCTGACCACATTTTAATTGTTATATGGTTTTTTTGCAACTTGAGTTTAATAAAAACTAATTTCTAATGACATATACAGACGTCAGAAGGACGGAAATTTCACTCTTTAGAAAATTTAGATTTTTCTGTATAACATTAGAGTGGTTGAAAAATTTTTTTAAATATTTTTTGCTTTCAGTTTTTCCTAACGATCGTAATTTTGCAATTTAAATTCTTTTTATTGAGTTATAAAATTCATAAGAAAAAAAGTTGCCTTCAAAACAATCAAATTTGACCGTTTATACATTTCAAACGCTCAGACTTGAGAAAGAATTGTWATTGATCTGTTTTGAAGAGCAGGCAATTTTTTACAAAACATATAAAAACAAATAGTTTCATTTTTCCAATTGGTTGTATTCGAGGTATTATTTTTCTAACTGATAATAAGAAAAAAAACAAAAAACTGTCAGGCGTTGGACCTCTTCGTAACAGTTAACAGCTCATAATTGGAGAGACTTGCTTAGTGGTATCTAAGCAGCTATTATTCAGA